CCCCCCCCCCCCCCCAGGTCTGGGGTCTCGGCCATAGGCCCTGCTCAGCCCGCTGCCGGCCTAGGTGAACAGAACCCCAGGCTGGCAGCGAGCTGAGCAGGCTCGTGGCGTAAGAACAGCATTTTAATTTAATTTTAAATGACGCTTCTTAAACATCTTGAAAACCTTGTTTACTTTACATACAATAGTTTAGTTATATAACATAGACTTATAGAAAGAGACCTTCTAAAAACGTTAAAATGTATTACCGGCATGCGAAACCTTAAATTAGAGTGAATAAATTAAGACTCGGCACACCACTTCTGAAAGGTTGCCTACCCCTGGTCTATAAGGTGCCACAGGACTCTTTGTCGCTTTTTAAGTGGAGCAAAACTCCCTCTGAAAGCAATGGGAGTCTTGTTTCATTCAGGACCATAGAATTTGGCCCAAAGTATATTGCTTCTTAGTATACTTGAACAAACGTGTCATGTCAGCTCCTTAGTTTGATAGTGTGTGCTCAGCACTTTGCAGGATTGGGCCCCAATATAGCTATAGTAAAATTTCTGACATAACTTGCAAGATTTCAAGTGTTCCCTTATTTTTATTCTTGCAATTAAATATTCGGAGTCAGCATTGTATCCTTGGTTGCTTTTGTCCCTCCCCACCTCCCCCTCAAAGGTGCAGAGTGTGGCAGAAAAGACATGGTTAGAAGGGGGATTCTGAAAGATGCTGAGACCCCTCACCTCTCTCTGGCAAACCTTAGGGAACAGACAGCTTTGACCCTGATTTCACCGGCGGGAGGTTTGGGGCTATATTTGGGACCCCTACTCTGGCTGGTTTGGGACTGCTCATATAGATTAGCCCAAATAATCTGACTATATGGGAAGATGATACGGACATGCCTAAGGAATTGGGAGGATACACAGACCACAGAGACTTGTCTTGATTTGTTTGCTCATGGCAGGAATGACACAGGGCTTGTGGAGTATGAACTCTGTGACTGGGGACTACCAGGAAAAAGGCACCATAATTGGCACTTAATTCTGTGAAACAGCATCACTTACTTTATACTATAGCAACATCTCTAATGCTCAGATCCTTGACTTTTGAGGTGCTGTTTTATTAAGGGCTGAGTGAATGTGAATGTAGCCTCCACTCTGCCAACAATGCCATCCTCAACTGCCTATTTGTCCTGTTTCTGGATATGCCCCATTGTGCTTTTTCCCATGCTGCCCCTTATGCTTGCTTGGAAGGAGCACCCAGTAAAAAATCCACAATACCACCACATTGTCCTCTTTTGAATGTCTCTGTAAAACCCACCTGAGCCATGATGCCCACATAACACTTGACAATAGTTAGTGGCTCCTGGACTGTGACCAGCTGCGTATTCAAGCTGTTTTACCGTTATCTCGGGCTCCCCCTTTTGGTCTGTCATATCCATCTATTGTCTCTCATCTTAAATTTAGATGTAAACTTCTTTGGGCAGGGACTGTCTCTTTGTTATGTCTGTGCAGTGCCTATCACAAGTGGGCTCTGGCATATTAGGCACCTTTACAATACAAATGAATAGATAATAATAGCTGTTATGTTACGCTTGTTCTGTGGAGGAGGGTTAGTCACTGAGGCACATGATTTCAAACAGGTGCAACTTGGGGCTGCATGCACAAGTTAGGGTTGCATTTGTGCTCGTAACCATGTGTGTGCTCAACCTAAGTATGTGCTTGAAAATTTGGACTCAATGGTGAAATTCCACCCTAGTAAATAGGACCTACACTAAAGCTTTACAGGGGACTTTGAGCTGCACAGGGCTTTGTCCAGGATATCTGTAATTGGGAGAAGCAAACATTACTTTACAGAGCATTTGAACTTGTTGTTTTCTGGGTCTAAGTTTCAGCATAAATCAGTTGAATAGTTTTCTGTAAACATTAATATTTACTTATGAATTGTGCTAGAGAGTACTTATTCCCAGGGATAGTCTCTGGAATTAGTTTTAAGTAAAACATACTTCCAATAAAACTAAAAGCTTATTGAATTCCTGTCATATTTTCCCCTTTGGCCTTCAATGTACATTAATTTAAGAGTAAATTACACTTTCTTTAATTTTTAAAGTAAAAAATAAATCTTTTGGAGTCACTCTACAAAAGGCACAAAGAGCCAAACATAACATTAATGCAAAATACGTTTATCTTCAGGGAACAACTATTACTTTTTTTTGATACAATAACCAACGCTAAGACTAATAAGTTAATTGTCTTATTATTTCAGGAGGACAAAAAATGTTTCACGTGCAATTCCCAGTTCCCCTTCCACGAGACTCTCAACTATGATAGCCATCTTATTGAAAATGTGGTCACAACATTTGCTCCAAACCGTCTCAAGCTGTGGTGGCAGTCAGAAAATGGTATGTAGTTCATCTGGGGATCATTTCTAATTGGTCACCCTTGATTGATTTAAAGGTTCCAGTGTGTTTTGTTATTATTTGAAGGGTTGTCTGCCTAGTTGTTAGTGCTGCATGGAGCATTAGTGTGTTAAGCACAGATCCCTTGGTAAAGCTAGATTCTTTGATTTATACTTGAGTGGTGTTTTATTATAAACAAAGTCTTATGAACTTTAGGAGTGCTGGAAAAAGTATAATATAAACTTTAAGGAATCTCTTATTACGGTTTTTTAAAAAATACACAGATTTTGTATATTGTGCCCAAATCTCTTGTGCTTAGTGGAGTGAGCAAAGGGGGAGGAAACAGCCCCCAAGGAACATCCCAGTGCAGAGCAGCCAGAACAGCTGTACGCTGTTGTTCCTCCCAGCCTCGCCTACCATGTCTGTCAGTGGAGGGAGGAGGTGTGGCTAGAGTGCACAGTGCTCCAGGTACCCTGAGGCTGGCCCAGCTTATGCCATGGGCTGGACAGGACTCCTACAGCTTAAAGCCACTTTGGCCTCTGCCCTTCAGGAGGATGGAAGAATCAGGGCCACTCTCTCAATATTCACTATCACCTCACTTCTCTACTCAGGCTATGTATTCATCTGCCAAACAATATAAATGAACAAAGCAAGCAAATCAAAGCAAATAAAAACCACACATATTACGGTCGTTTTGTGGGGGTGGTTTCCCTCTAAAATTTCTTTCCAGAGTAAGCCATTCCTTTTTCCTTTTACAGCTATGCTCTCAGGCTGCCTGAATTTCCTCAAGATAGGCCATCCGATCCTAAAGCTCCTAAGATGCCCTTTTTTTTAAAAAGGAGTATGGAAGGCATAGTATTTGGCAAATATGTTGGCAAAGGCTCTTATTGTAACTTAACGAACACTGTGATGTTTTGAAAAACTCTTATTAGCCCACTAAAAAGAAGTTTACATGATGTCCTTTTTAACAAGTGAGATTAATCCAGCTAGCTATCGGTCTCCACTGTTTCTAGTTTAGCATTCCAGATAACTCATGTTTTTTGCGATAGACTTGGCAACTTACCAACAGAAAAGTTTTAGCTTATAAGGTCATGCAAATGTCCCTCAAAAATAAACAACAAATGATTCTTTCTTTCTCCATGTAGACATAAAGCAGCAAGGATTGTTATATTACTGTGTGTTCCACACAAATTTATAGCTGTTTAAAAATTGGAAAGTTCCATACTTTCCTTGGGTTATTCTACTTGTCTTCCTCCCCTCCTCCCCTTTAAATCATCTTATTTGTTTTTTATGCTACAAACTAGAATGTAATGAGTTTCCAGCTGTTTTAAAAGTTCTTTTCACATGCATCAAATAACTGTTTGTGTTATCTTCCTTCAGTATACAGTCCTAAAATTTTGATAATTTATAGTTATATGACTTGAAAAATCTCTTTCTTGCTGCTGGTAAATTGGAAAGCTTTCATTAGTGAGTGAGGGGACCCGAATAGTCAATTTCTGTAAAATTTAACCTTTCATTTGAAAAACAATTGTAGGCTTCTATCCCTTACGGTTACAAAAATAATCCCTGCAGTGCAATCTCTGACTGTGTAGACAAAGGGCTCCTATGCTTCTGCTTCTGCCCATAGTTTCCCCAAGCAGCCGCTGAGTGAAATTAGCAAGAATCGGCTGGGTTTCACTGCTGATATTCAGGAAGTTGTAGGCAGGTGTAAAACTGACCAGGACAATGGCAGTTTCATGATACAGTACACCCTCAGAGTTAGGAACACCAGTGTTACGAACTGACCAGTCAATTACACGCCTCATTTGGAACCGGAAATATGCACTCAGGCAGCAGCAAAGAGAAAAGAGAAAAAAGCAAATACAGTTCAGTATTGTGTTAACTTTCCCTTTATTTTTTTAGTAGTTTAAAAAAACAAAATACAAGCAGAAGTTGGGGGGGAGGGGTGTGTGTCTTACAACTGGAGAGACCCACTGCCAGAGGCTGATGCTAGAACTGGAGCCCTCAGCCAGCGTCCAGCATCACCGCTATGGTATGAATTCCATCACCCTCAGTCTCATCAGCAGCTGAGGGAGGGGGCAGGGCTTCTCATCAGGGCATTATAAGGGAGGCCACTTCCAGTCCGCCACTATCTTTTTGTATCTGCCTCTATCTAGGAACTTTAGTTCTGTTATGCAAAACAAGATAAACGTAATCCAGTCTCATGCTTTGGGTGTATGCTGATTGACACAGGGGACAGGAAAGAATCCCACAGCTCCTTCCGTTATGCAGCATTGCGTAACTGGCTATAAGTGTAATCAATATCCTTGTAAAACTAGAATTAAATGGGCTTTGGGCAGAGGACCTACATGGGGTTTAGGGAAGTTTGTTAGTACTAGTCCAGTTAATCCAGGCCCTCGCCTGACCAATAGGCTGCCCCAAACACCCATGTTCCTAGGCTGAGAGCCATTTGCAGAATTCCAGAATCCCCCTGCACGAGATCTCAGCAGTCCAGCTCCTAGCAGAAAGAATTATGGTTCATTTCCATTGCACGTCAGGCTTTTTGCCCATGCAGAGCAAAGTGAGGGCCAGGGCTTCATCCTTGGTGGACTGTAGAGTTTTTCATTTTCTTCTAAAGCATCAGATAGAGGCCTCTGCAGAAGGCCTGATACCAGACTAGTTCTGCATTGTGTGTGATCTTGTGTGTGAATCACTTAACCTTCCTGTACCTGAGTAATGGGGTACTGTAAAATGTAAATGTAAAATGGGGTAATGATACTTGAAATACCTCAAGTACGGGGGTAAAGTGAAATATGCTAAATGTCATACAGACCAAATACACGTACAGCACTGTATACGAAATAATATCTCCAATTGGCAATCCCATGTAGTGTGATGTTTAGGAAGTTTGCGAACACTGTGTCTTCAGTGTCTTCACCGCAATTCCCTAATGTTTGTTATAGTGCTAATCCATACGTTGTTCTATCACAACATAACAGCCAAAGTCAAGAAAAAGGTCCTTATACTACCAGAATGAGGGTCTCTTAGGAAAATGATGAAGTTATTGCTGAGAAATGTTCCTGTTTACCGTAGAATTTCCTTTTTCTGCTTTTAGGTTTAGAAAATGTAACTCTCCAGCTGGATCTGGAAGCTGAATTCCATTTCACTCATCTCATTATGACCTTCAAGGTAAAGAATCCATAGCATTCTCACAAATCACAAACTGGAGCACTGTGTAATCTAACATCTGTCATGGAGGGCAGTTGTGGGCTTAACTGGTTATATATAATGTTCCAGTTTTGAAGATACAGGCTTTAATAAATGCATTAAAAATGCTATTAATATTGGAATGCAGGGGAGATGGACTTCATAAATCCGTTGGTTTCAAATTTTTAATTGACGATCTTTGTATAAACAGATAAATTTCTGCTTTGAATAAATCCAAAACCTCATAAAATAGAGGGAGATTAAAGCTCTCTTCTGTTGCTCACTTGCATTTTATATTTTGGGCTTTTGTAGCAAAAATGGAACTGTGGGATCTTACCATCCTTTTAGACTTCAAGATTGTGGAAGTGTGCAAAAACTGTGCTTTGGGTTATTTGTTTGCTCTTTGTGTGTTGTTTGTATTTTACAAGATCATTATCAAAATCAACATAGCAGCAAGTTTTTGTTTTGTTTTGTTAGCAGTCATTTTCACTTGACAAATGAAAATGTCTCCGAGAGGACATCTGTGCCTTTGTTTCCTTCCAAACAGATGTCCTGGAATGACAGATTATGTACCATGTGTCTTAAAGTACATTTTATTATGGAGGCATTAGTAGTGACTCCATAGTTGAATGTAATCTCTACATTTTACATGCTAACTTTCTAGGACAACTGAATACTCTATAATATTCCTGGGCTCCATCTCAAACACACACCTCTGCTTCCACCACGACCCATCACATGTTGCTCTCCCACATGGTGGCCCCCCACCATGCCCCCATATTTCCTTACCAAACTCAGCTTCTAAACACCGGTATGTATAAATGTCTGTGTGTATTAGGATTTAAAAACTGAATGTTGTAGGGCTGTATGGGGTCATGGCGAAAGATGGAAGGAGAGATTTATTAAGGAGGACTGGATTGGGACATGAGGGAACAGGATCGCTCAAGGGGAGTGAGCCTGGGGAAAATTAATCTATGCACGGAGGATTGTGGAGCAAGGGACAGGACTGAGAGTGGCAGGAGGAAGAGTGCAGCAATGCAAGGGGTTGCAGGGCTATGTGAAAGGCATAGTAATAGGGTTGCCAACTTTCTAATCGCACAAAACCGAACCCCCTTCCCTGAGGCCCTGCCCCCGCTTGCTCTATCTCCCCTCCTCCGTGGCTCACTCTCCCCCACCCTCACTCACTTTCACCAGGCTGGGGCAGGGGTTTGGGGTGCGGGCTCTGAGGTGGGGCTGGGGATGAGGGGTTTGCAGTGAAGGAGGGGGCTCTGGGCTGGGGAGGGGAAGGGCTCTGGCTGGGGATGTGGGCTCTGGGATGGGGCCGGGGATGAGGGGTTTGGGGTGCAAGAGGGGGCTCAGGGCTGGGGCGGAGTGTTGGGGTGGGGGTGTGGGCTCCGTGACTGAGTTTGGGTGCGGGAGGGGACTCTGGGCTGGGGCAGGAGGTTGGAGTGTGGGAGGGGGTTCGGGGTGCAGGGTCCCAGCGGCACTTACCACGGCTCTCAGGAAGCAGCCACCAGGTCTCTGTGGCCCCTAGGGGTGTGGGCAGCTGGGGAGGCTCTGTATGCTGTCCTCACACCCACAGGTGCCACCCCCACAGCTTCCATTGGTCATGGTTCCTGGCCAATGGGAGCTGCAGAGCTGGCACTCAGGGCGGGGGCAGCGTGCAGAGCCTCTCTGGCCACCCATAAGCCATGGGGCCGCCAATCAGACTTTTAATGGCCCGGTCAGCTGTGCCAACCAGAACCTCCAGGGTCCCCCTTTTCGACCGGGCATTCCAGTCGAAAACCAGACGCCTGGCAACCCTACATAGTAAGGATCCTTAGATTATAAGATCTTTGGGAAGGCACTGTCTTTTTGTTCTATTTTTTTACAGTGCCTAACATAATGAGGCTCTGGGCTAATACTGGGGTTTCTAAGTGCTAATACAAATTATGAATAATAATACATATAATTGTTGATGGCTATTCATGCGAATAGTCATCAGATACTTCCTAAAAAGCCTGGGAAATTCCCTTCCACCAAAAAACTTGGTAAATTTTGAATGAAGGCTGCTTTACACTCAAATGCAAAACTTTACTCTGATCTTGTACCTTTTTTATGGACAAATACCACAATAGACCTTTTTAATGCTGCATGTATGCCTATTGATTTGATGTGTGATAGTCTGGGTGAAATCTGGGTGCCTTCTATGATGAGATAACTGGCTTTGTGGATGCGGAGAAAGCAGTGGATGTGTTATTCCTTGACTTTAGCAAAGCTTTTGATGCGGTCTCCCACAGTATTCTTGCCAGCAAGTTAAAGAAGTATGGGCTGGATGAATGGACTATAAGGTGGATAGAAAGCTGGCTAGATCATTGGGCTCAACAGGTAGTGATCAATAGCTCCATGTCTAGTTGGCAGCCAGTATCAAGCAGAGTGCCCCAAGGATCGGTCTTGGGGCCGGTTTTGTTCAATATCTTCATTAATGATCTGGAGGCAGATGACAGAACAAGGAGCAGTGGTCTCAAGTTGCAGTGTGGGAAGTCTAGGTTGGATATTAGGAAAAACTTTTTCACTAGGAGTGTGGTGAAGCACTGGAATGGGTTACCTAGGGAGGTGGTGGAATCTCCTTCCTTAGAGGTTTTTAAGGTCAGGCTTGACAAAGCCCTGGCTGGGATGATTTAGTTGGGGATTAGGTCCTGGTTTGAGCAGGGGGTTGGACTAGATGACCTCCTGAGGTCCCTTCCAACCCTGATGTTCTATGATTCTATGAAATCAGAGTAAAGGGTTTGCGTTTGGGTGTGATCGTGAGGAATTAAATATGTGCATTGTGAGTGCTCCTTAGTTCAAAGTGGAAGTGAGTTTACTGTGTAGTTGTGGCTATGGAGAGCGTATGGGTGGAAAGGTGTGAAATTTGAGATTGGTGTGGATGTGAATGTTGATTTCAGTGATGACATTATTGATTTTTAGTAATTGCTTTGGTGGGATTTGCTCTTGAACAATCTTAACTCTTAAATTATCAAATTTTAGTTTGTAGGGCACAAGTTAGTAATGTGGATGATCGTTTCAGCTAAGCAGTAATACATTTTAAAACTGTGATAGAAATACTTTTGTGTTTGGCTTTTGGAGGATCTTGCCTACATATATAAACCAAATGAACAAACTATTGCTGACATTGTCCTCTAGGTGCAAGCCATATATTAAACTGATAATTGAATGTTAAAGTTCAGTTCATATTGTGAATGATCCTAATCTTTCAAAGCTTTCTACATTGGGATTTTTAAGGTGGGGGTTTGGGTTAAGAATCTTTTTTTATTTATCTCATTAGCTAATTTATAATTAATTTAGTTGTTTGAAATGCTGGTAGGTAAGGAGAAAAGCTATTCATACAATCTAATCATTTCTTTATTTTATATCAGACCATGTCAAAGTTTGGTCAAAGTCAGTTAAAGCAGAGTTATTATAGATCCTGGGAGTAGAGTCTTATAAAACTGGCTGAGGATGAACTTCTCAACCTGGTGGGGAAAAGACCAGTTTCAGCTGCCTATTCAACCAACAAGACAATTGTTAGAGCACTAAGAAAGATAATGCAGACAGATTAGGGTTGCCAACTTTCTAATCGCATAAAACCGAACACCCTAGCTCCGCCCCTTCCCCGAGGCCCTGCCCCCCCCCCCACTCACTACATTCCCCCTCCCTCTGTGGCTTGCTCTCCTCCACCCTCACTCACTTTCCCTGGGCTGGGGCAGGTGGTTGGGTTGTGGGAGGGGGTGAGGGCTCTGGCTGGGGGTACGGGCTCTGGGGTGGGGCTGGGGATGAAGGGTTTGGGGTGTAGGAGGGGGCTCTAGGCTGGGGGGTGGGACCAAGGGATTTGGAGTGTGGGCGGGGGCTGCGGGTTGAGGCGGGGGTTGGGATGCAGGAGGGGATGAGGGCTCTGGGGTGGGGCCGGGGATAAGGAGTTCAGGGTTTGGGAGGGGGCTCTGGGCTGGGATTGGGGTGCAGGGGAGTGAGGGCTCTGGGCTGGGGGTGCGGGCTCTGGGGTGGAGAAGGGGGCTCTGGGTTTGGGGTGGCTCAGAGCTGGGGATTGGAGTGTAGGGGGGGTATGGGTGCAGGAGGGGTACAGGCCTGCTGGGGGTGCAGGCTCTGGGCTGGGGCCAGGGATGAGGGGTTTGGGGTGCAGGAGGGGGCTCTGGGTTTGGGGCACGGGGCAGGGGGATGGGGCTTGGGGTTGGGGCGCAGGCTGACCTCAGGCGGCTCCTGGTCAGCGGCGCAGCAGGGCTAAGGCAGGCTGCTAGCCTGTCCTGGATCCGTACTGCGCCCCGGAAGCAGGTCTGGCTCCTAGGTGGGGGTGGGGAGGCTCCGCGGCCGCAGGCACTGCCCCCCCAGCAGAGAGCCGGTGCTCGGGCAGCACGCTGAGCCCCGTGGCCCCCCCCGCCTAGGAGCCGGACCTGCTGGCCGCTTCCGGGGCACAGTGCAGTGCCCCAAGACAGGTAGGGACTAACCTGCTGAAAACCAGACCCCTGATCACCCTAAGACAGATACCAGAGAGGCAGATGGAAAAATATTACCATTGTGTAACTTGACAAGAGACCAAGGATAAGGAAGGGGAAATACAGTATGTATAACTGGATTCCCCTCTCTGTGCTCCATCGTTCCAGGCCCCGCCCGGTGTGACAGGAAATGAGGGGCCTGTTAGATCTTCCTGTGAGCCAGGACTGACTGGGAGATGAAATGAGGAGCTACAGTAACTGGGGAATCTGCACTTTTTTCACTGACCATAAAAAATAATAATCTTTCTTCAAGTATTTCTCTCTTACCTTCATTTTAAATAGGAATCTGAAGTCTTAGTAGCTTACAGTAAACAATCCTTTATTCTAAATTTGTGTGTTGCATTATGAGTATGTTTAAATGTCTGCGTACCTATAATTACTAAATATCATTATCATTCTAAAGATATTCTCTGATTTGATTTACATGATTCAAATGAAGGCCTTACCATAATCTGTCTCCAAAGACTGAGTGTGTAGTAGCAGTAGTAAAAAGAAAATTGGGAAGAAATAAAAAAAAATCAGTCTATAGAAGATGTCTTGAAATCCAGGCACATGAGTTGCTCCTTCTAATAATTGATTCCAAATAATATTTAATAGTATATAACCATTTGCTGTTCTTTGTTTTTTGTTTTTTTTCTTTTTTTTTTAAAGACATTCCGCCCAGCTGCAATGCTAATAGAAAGATCATCTGATTTTGGAAAAACCTGGAAAGTATATAGATACTTTGCATATGACTGTGAGAACTCCTTCCCTGGTGTTTCAACTGGACCCATGAAGAAAGTAGATGATATCATTTGTGATTCCCGATATTCTGACATTGAACCTTCAACTGAGGGAGAGGTTGGACGTTATTTTTATATATAATGAAGACTTTTTCTCTGAACAGTTCAAGATCCCTTATTTTAAAGTTGATGCTTTCATTTTTCATTTTTCTTTAGGTCATATATCGTGCTTTAGATCCAGCTTTTAGAATTGAAGACCCATATAGTCCAAGAATTCAAAGTATGTACATGCTTACTTTTCTTTCGCATTCTAACTAATTTTTTATTAATTTTTTTTCATTTAAAAATACAAAAGTTACAAGCAAAAATCAGCCCCAGTACTGCCTCAGAACTGCACCAGGAACCAGGGGTCCTCTCCACTGACTTTAACGGGTCTCCACATGGGAATAAGAACCAGTGTTGCCAACTCATGATTTTTTATCATGAGTCTTGTTACATTTGATGTTTTTCTTAAAGGCTCAACTCCTGGTGTTATGGGATTATGTGAGAATCTCTACTTCCATTTTTTTTAAAAAAGGTGTGTGTGGGGAATTCTAAACCTCATTGTTTCAGAAAAGAGCTTGAAAATGTGACCTCTCCCCCAAAGAAAGCAGATAAATACAACCCCAAGTTTATGATTATTTTTTTAAATCTCATGATATTTTTAGCTAAGCTAAAGATTTTTGTGGGTCTGACTCATGGTTCTTGGAGTTGGCACTACTGAGTGCCTGCCCACACTGATCTGATTGTAGGACTCCTAAGACATTAAAATTAATGCATCAGTTATTTACAGTTATTGGGACAAAGGAATGCAAACATACAAATCTGCTGCTGTATGAAAGCATACAGTTTGAAAAAGAAACTTCTTTAGGCATTTTACCTGAATAAGGACAACAGGATTTGGCTTTAGTTTAAGTTAGTATCTAACAACGTAAAGCTGCCTGGATGAGACAGCAAAGGAAAACAACTCAAGTAGAAGGCTGTGTGCTGGCTGCTACATTGATTCAATGTTTTCTGTTTAACCAAAGTTTAAAAAGAGAAATTTATAAGGTTCTATTTTTATTAGCTTAGGCCAAGGGTATTTTCAAACATGGGAGAAAAACAAGGTTTTAATAATGTCAAGGCAGAAAGAGTCAAAGGTCAAATTAATTGCTATAATGTTGTCTTCCTGTGAGAACAGTTACTTTTTATTTGGTAGGATCAAGATGGTTGTTTTTCCCATCAAAATACAATTAATTATATTCAAAGGGTGTGAGGACATATAAAGAAGAGGATTATATTTGCATCCTAAGTGTTTCTGCAATTTCCAACTCAAGTTCTTCCAAACATGCACACAGTCCTTGAAGCTCGTACTCCACTTGTCAGTACTTCCTTAATATTAACCCGGACCCATTTTACATTTTAAATCCGAAATGTGGTTGAAAACTAAGGCATCTGTTGTGGCACTGATGCATGTGCCATTAATATTAATATTCTGTGGATGTATGTATTAACAGCAAAATAGATCCCAGTTTTGTTTAAATTAATCTAGCATATGTAGTGATCATATGGGGAGGGAGAGGAACAATTCATCTCTGGCATTTGTAGTGGGAGGATCCAGTGAGGGAAATTTGTGTTTAAACAAGATAAAGTCTTGTTTACAATTCCAGATATTATATTATATCTTGACATAGAAAATTGCTCTGTGTGAGGTTTCCCATAATTTATGATCTGCAGTTTTCTTGGTTTCCTTCAGTTCATAGAACTCAGTAGCTAATTCAAGAAACTGTTTGTTTGCTTTTTTCCCTGCAGACCTATTAAAAATCACAAATTTAAGAATCAGTTTCACCAAGTTACATACATTGGGAGACAACCTCTTGGATTCTAGAATGGAAATCAAAGAAAAGTACTACTATGCCATTTACGACATGGTGGTTCGTGGGAACTGTTTCTGTTATGGCCATGCCAGTGAGTGTGCACCAGTGGATGGTTTTAATGAAGAGGTGGAAGGAATGGTAAATGCTCACACTTTTTTCACACTAAAACCATGTTAAAATGCCTTGAGCCTGGTTCTGTCCCCTTTACTCACATTGAGAAGATATATTAAAGTTAGTACTAAGGTACATCAGTAAGAGTGGCAGAATTTGGCCCTTTATTTTTCTTTTTAATTTCCAAACAATAAAAAAGTGTTCACCATTTTTGTTGTTGATCAGACACCGAGAGCTGAGACTAGTTTAAAGTTACTTTAACATCTTGAAATTTCTTCTTTCTAATTATATTAAAGACTTGATAAAAATAAAAGGCAACAGTATTGTAATGGATATAAGGGAATGTATTTTTATGCAACATTGAACTAACCTATGGACTTTGTGTCTGAAGGTTTCTAGTGAAGCAAATAGCAGGGTCAAAAGGTGAGACACTTTAATGAACAAGAACAGCACTGCACTTATATTAACGAGTATAAAAAGAAAACTACAAGGGCTATCCATTTTCAGAGTTCAGTGCACGTATTGATCAACAGCAGGGCAGAAGAAAATCCTGCTGCCTGCATGTTATAATATTGTATAACAGGTCAGGTACATTTTCCTTTCTTCTGTGTAGTTTTCCCCATGATTTTTCCAAGTGGATGCAGGTAGGACTTTTGCTGGACAGGGAAAAGATTGGGTGAGCTGCCAGCCTGAAAGCAGAGTTTGTTGGGTTGGTGTTTTGGGAAGTGGAGTTGTGTGCAAGATGAGATTGTCTTGGTTAACGCAAAGTGTGAGGGAAACTTTTGAGCAGATTCATCATCTGGGAGGAAATTTTGGTCTTGTTTATGAGAGTATAGCCTACCAGTCAGCATGCAGTGTGTATCCCTCTCTGTGCCCAGCCCACAGTAGCTATGGATCTGTTTACAGCCCCACCTGCAGAGCTCAGATTCTAGAGACACATTCTTCTAGCTCTGGAGTTCCTCCCAAATTCAATCCATGGTTATCCAAGATGGCGGCTGTCACTGTCACAGGAGCAAGTTGTCTGATTTCCCCAGTAATTCTGTAAATGTTGAGGCTTGAGCCAGGATTGTGATAAATATCAATTATGATGTGGAAGAGCTTTGACCCCCTTCCTCTAAAGCTTTTGTATCCACTGCTGGAGAGAAGGTATTAGACTAGATGACGCTATGTTCTGATATGGCTAATCCTATGTTAATGGATTATGGACAATTAATGATTTTGCCCTAATAGGTTACTAAGGGCATTTTGGGCCAAACGGTGTGCTCTGTATTCACATTGGTGAGTATTTATTCACACAGGCAATTCCACTGAAGAAAATGGGACTACTTTGTGTGGGTGAGCATTTACTCACACAGGCAAGGAACTCACAGTCTGGCCCTTTCTGTATATGATTATGTCCTCTTTAAGTGTTTTTGATGCAATGGTAGTTGGTAAGGGTATGCCAAACACTCACTGGTTATACTTTAGATAGATGGGAAATGGTGAGGTACATTCCAATTTGAATGCACTCTATGTATTGTATTGGCTTTTTCCCCTCCTTATTTTCTTTAACCAAACATATTATATTTGTTTTTTATTCTTTTAAATGATAGGTCCATGGGCACTGCATGTGCAGACATAATACCAAAGGGTTAAACTGTGAATTGTGTTTGGATTTCTACCATGACTTACCATGGAGACCAGCTGAAGGACGCCATAGTAATGCATGTAAAAGTATGTTTAAATACAATACCAATTCTAAATCCTATATTCTTATTTGCTTTTAAAGTTTGATGAATTTTACATAGGTGGTTCATGAGGTTTTTGTTGCATTAAATGAACTGTAAAGATATTATTTACAAGACTAATACTTCTTTGCTGAAAACATATTACTTCAGTAAAGCTGCTCTTTTTGTCTTGTATCTTAGAGTGCAATTGTAATGGACACTCTATCCAGTGCCATTTTGATATGGCTGTATACATGGCAACTGGAAATACCAGTGGTGGAGTGTGTGATGACTGCCAGCATAACACAATGGGACGCAACTGTGAACAATGCAAACCATTTTACTTTCAGCATCCAGAGAGAGAGATACGAGATCCTAACATTTGTGAGCGTAAGTGCAGTGCCATCACTCAGAATGTTGAAGCACATTGTGTCTATACTGTGATCACTAAGGCATTCAGTTAAAGAATTCCAAAGCAGCTGCACCTGTATTCTTGGGCCCCATTCCTCTCCTTTGAGTTACTGAATGTTCATGAACAGATGTTCTCTGCTTCTGATGGAGACCTGGGGTAAGTGTGGCCTCTCTTCTTTGCTTTTTGTTTAAAAAGCGGGAAATAGCGGCCACTTGGTGACTTCTTCACATGCAAACAATGCCATGTCTAATGAGCTATAGCAATCAGATCTGAGAACTGTGTATTTCTTTTACTGTAGTTAATAAAGGTGTATGCAATGCTTCCTTTTTAGCATGTAACTGTGACCCACTTGGCTCCCAAAATGGTGGAATATGTGATCGCTACACTGACTTCTCTGCTGGCCTTATTGCTGGACAGTGCCGCTGTAAATTATTTGTGGAAGGGGAACGTTGCGACCTCTGCAAAGAAGGGTTCTATGGATTAAGTGCAGATAATCCACTTGGTTGTCAATGTAAGTAGAAAATTTATGGAATGGGAGTACACTAATGTTACTTTATGTATGAGCCAAAGCACTTCCTGGAATTGTTAGGGCTTGAAGAGGAACTTCTCATTCAGCCCTTGATTTTTATTGAAGGAAGGACATGATTTGAAGATTTCAAGTGGCTTGGATTCCACCCACTTCCATCAGAAGTCCCAGGTGATCTTACTGTAAACTCAGTTGAAACACTAGAAAGCCTTTCTTGGTTTCAATTTAAGTCCTTCACTTAGTCTACAGAAATCTGGCAGGGAGGTAGGGGAGGAATACAGACAGAAATGTGCAATAAAACTGCTCACTGAGAAATGAAGGATGGTCTTCCTGTAAATATTTGTATTAAATACTGTGAAAAATATAAATAAACTCCTATATTCTGATTTATTTACTTGCATTTCCCAATACAGCTTGTGCCTGTAATCCTTTGGGAACTCTTCCTGGAGGGAATCCTTGTGATTCAGAGACAGGAAGCTGCTATTGTAAACGTCTAGCAACAGGAAAGCACTGTGAGCAGTGTCTGGTAAGTAGCCTTGCAATAAGAATAGATTTGTAATAGAAAAATACACTAATATGAAAGAGGCAGTGTGGCATGTCGGAAGTGTAGCATGAGATGGTGCCAGACTTGTGTGAGTGATTGAGAGCAGACGCATGGATAAAGAATAGATGGAAATGGGTACTTCTGAATGTAAAGTGACAAAGAACGGGTGTTGTGACAATGGATTGGAGAGTAAGCAAGACAGTGAGTGAGCAAGCCAGGAATATTGGAACACTAGCGTTCAAAGAGTCAATTTTTCAAACCAGACTTGCATTTTGAGGGGCACGGTTTTGCACCGGAAGTTCATTGTGGGAGTAAATGTTCATGTTCAGCTATCTAGCTGCCTGACTTTCCTGCAATCAGGCAGTTTACACTGGGATTATCTAATACTTGTGCTGCCCATTAACCGCAATCACAAAACTGCCCCAGCCAAAAAGAGAGGCCTGCTGTGAAAATCAGGCCCAGGGTGCTGAGTATCTTCCCAGCCATATCCCTGTTTTTCATCAGACTAACTCCCATTACCCAAACCTCAGTCAAGGTTATGATAGCTAAGGAGTGTGTGTTGTGCTGCTTTTTCCCTTATATCAAAAAAGTGAGACTTGATACTCCCCTGCTAGCACTTTTTGGGGATTAAAAAATGTGTACTAACAAAACCTCATGTGAATCAGGGCACTAAGACATTAGCATCTCAGGTACGTTGGTCTGCTTTCATAGATGACTATTCCAGCTTTGCTTTGTGTCTGTCTATGGTTATCTGCCCGTAAACTATGTGGGAAATCTGAGCATGTCAATCTGTCTCCTGAGCATACTGTAGAATACTGAGCATACTGTAAGTTGGGGACTTGGCTCTCTATGAAAATTCCTCTTTTTTCATGCTAATTATAATTAATTAATTAATTAAAGGGAGGGGAGAGCTGTTGGAAGGGTGCTATCCAGGAGCAACCCTCAGCTTTGGAACTGGCTCTCACCTTTACTTTGCACTTCAAAGCTTAGATTTGTTAACCTTTCAGACTTGTGGCAAAGCATATCCTCTGTTCTCAGGCCTTTGGGTAAAAGCAAGTTAATGGGGTGGAATATAGTGGTTCTGTCTTGAGGCTGTTATGTGATAGACTAGGTCTATTATTTGTGTGAGCAGCTCAGTGGCTTTATAATAGCTTTGCAATGTTTTTTGTATTGTTTTTAAAATTGGGATGTGCCTAGAGTTCAAACTGAGTGCTTTTAAATCAACACCTCATTACAGCATTAATGGCCTATTGTTCTGCAGCCTGAACACTGGGGCCTGAGCAATGACATGGATGGATGTCGGCCTTGTGACTGTTACCAAGGGGGAGCAATAAACAATAAGTAAGTCTCATTTCAGTTACATTCTTGTAATCATTCACTCACTGAGCTCCACTGCATTTGCAGTCGCAGCGCTCAGGCCA